TTCAACTCTGTTTCTCCTTAAAAAAATATTTGAATTCACTTTGCTCGGCCGGCTCATATCGTTTCAAACAGAAATTTCTAATAGATTATGTTTTTTTTTTTTTGTGGGGAATTTAGTAATATTTCAGGTAATCATGAGTACGATAGATAACAAATATATACATTTTATTTTATTCCCAAATAAAGTTTATTTCATTCCGGAAATTTTGGAGGATATTACTACGATTCGTCACTGCCCCATGTAATTTGGGACCTTTCGTTTGATACCTCATTCATCAAAACATCCATTGATGTTAAGAGCTTGATAAGAAATATTTACTGCCAAAAACTACTGTACTGTATATAAATATAATATATGTGGACTATTATTTTAGATATTTTTATTTTTAAATAAATAGTGTTTACTCTGAGAACGTTTCCATACGATTGACTGGTTGTTTTATCTTATTATGAATAATCAGTTCGTCCAAGTTGTCTTGTTACCCGTGCCCCCAGACCTACAAGATGATCTTGTCTACACTTCGGCCCTGAACTTGAGCTTCGCGTGTTAAGAATAACCTTTTTGAACCAGGGTCAGTCAATGCTCTTACCCTGTGGTTGTGTAGTCAAGTTCATGCTTTCTCCACCCTTTCCCTTCTTATTCTCATCCCATTATTTAAAAGTTCATAAATCTTGTATACGCACTAAGTATTGATTTAAAGAAAAAAACTGAATTTTATTGGACACATTAAAAATTTATTTTTTTCATAACAATAGTCACCTTGTAGATCTCTATAGTCCGTGGTACAGATCCATTTTTATCAAATTATTAACATCCGCCTGAAGTTTTGTAAATAGCTTTATCTAATCGTAACCTACAACTATTATTTATGAAAATCCACAAATGAAAATATGAGAATTTATGAAAATTCTCGGAATTGCGGCGTTTTTAATCTGAAGATTTAATTGGGTTCTAAAAACTAATTACGCGTTTGCTTTCCGATTGGATTGTAAGATAATTTAAGCACAAAATCGAGATAAAAGGCGGCCTTCAAAAATATTCAAGCGTTTGGCGTGACTTGCACTCCTAAAATAGGCACAGTTGCACTTTTTTATTTAAACTTAGTGTATTTAATATCAGGTAATAGGAATTAGGGAAAGAGAGGGGAGAACCTTTCATTCGTGAACGAACGAAAAATAATACTAGTATGAACACCATTAAAATTATTATAAGATAATATCTGGATGAAAACCACATATCTAGAGAAAATATTTCGTTCCTGCTTGTCTTTTTTTTTTTTTTGTTATTTCTTAAACCTAAAATATTTTAAGGGAGCGGGTAGCTCAGTGGTAGGGCACTGAGCTTCCAATGCAAAGGTCCCGTGTTCGGACCCCGGCTCATGGCAGAAAATTTATTTATCTGTTTCATTGGCCGTGGGGCGACTTGGGTCAAAAGTCCCTCCTGAGGCACCCTATAAAGTGGGTACCCTTAATTAAATAATTCATTAAGGGGGAAAACCTGGCGGTTGAGCGTGATCTCGGTCAAATAACCTCCTTGCACAACCGTGTTGACCTAGAAACAGTGCTTTCCCTAAAATAGTACTGAACCCCAGACCCTTCATGGGTTGTAGTGGTACAGGTTAAAATATTTTATTCCAATAATTAACATTATTTTATCGCAAAAAGGATGGAATTTTAGACCATCCCCCTAAATCAAAAAGTCGTCGTCAAACAAATATATTAGAAACGTAAAACTTCGATAGTAAAAAGCGTGTTGCCCAAAATCGGTCTTGGTCTTGCACTTTGCACTTACAACACAGCTAAATACACAGTTGCACTCTGCAAGACCAAGACCAAGGCCGCCTAATAGTTGCAAGACCAAGAGCAGAACTGTTAAAAAAATCGATTTTTAAATAAAAATTAAGGCAAACTAATTACTGATACTTGACAATCTTAGTTTCTTTATGTAATTAATTGTTATTGCTAATATACTTTTGCATTCAACTCTTCTATTTTTTCATTCGGGCTTAGTTAGGGTTCTGCTATCTAAAAAATTACAGTAATATCTCTATAGTAGTAAGCTAATAAGTAACTACAAGGCTGTTGCGAGACTCTTGCGTAAGACCATGACTGAGTTTGCTAGACCAAGACTTGTCTCGGTCTCGCATTTGGGCAAGACTAAAATTAGATAGAGATTAGTTAGAAAAAAATAAAATAAAAATATAAACATAAATATATATGTTAAAATATTTACCAAATTAGAAACTTTAAATTTGGAGATAGTATGAATGATTCTACACACTTATTCTGCATGGCTATCGGCCATAAGAGGGTTAGGGATTTATCAAGCATTTTAAGAAGACTGATGGTTGGAGCGTGATATTTTACTAAACCCCATCCCGCGACCCCAGCTCCGATAACAGCATAAATATTGTACTAGATCCCCGACGATGGATAGGAGCCCATCGGATCTTATAATAATAATATTTCTTCCTAGCCCAATCTCTTGTATATTCCTCATGAGAAAATCCTCAGTTCGTTATGACACAACGGTGAGTCACGGATGCCTCCAGGGTAACAGTGCACTAACAAAGGAGTGATGCAGTTACTAATGTGTCTTATTATAAGGGATTAATTTGTCAGAAATGTTTGCTGGTTGTTAAAGAATAATTTCTAGATGCTACAATGTTGCGTACAATTTGAAGTAGATTGCAGAAAAGTCAAATTTCACATTAAGTATGAAATATATGCGCTTATATGATTATCTACATTTAAAATTTTTAATTAAAGAAAACAAATCGCTTATAAATATCCTTTGGTACCTTATGCATAATACTCCATGTGTAATTGACTTATAATTTATTTTTTATAAAATTATTACAATTGAATAAGAAATACAACTGGCCTATGCAGAAAGGCATACATAACATCAGCATGATTATTGTATTTTTAAATGATATATTTAAATGCCTCTAATATTAGAAAAGTTTTTGTGACTTAAAATATGATTACGTTTTTTAGACGTATGAAAAATATAGTAAGAGGAAATATTGCGATCATGCATTTTAAAAATTGTTATGGTACTTAATTTCACTGATATATATATATATATATATTTTTTTTTCTTTGCTGTAGTAACCCTACAGAAGAGGCGTATATTTCTTAGAAATCTGCATACACCATGCAAAAGCATAGCAAAAGCATATTATATGCGTTACATTGTTTACTTTAAAAATTTTTTATATAAAAAAATATAGCTTATTACGAAATATGTTGGCTGGAATCGTTCATAAAATATATTACAATGAGAAAATAAATAACAGTATTAGATGAGTGAACAGTACCTCAATGTATTGAAAATGAGAAAATATAATAAATAAATAAAAAAAAAAAAAAAAAAGTATATGATTAGTCAACCTATATACGTGTATATATATATTCAATATTATTGTAATAAAGTTCACCCTTAATTTACTAAAATTAGAAAAGGTTCCTACCATAAGGTCTTTATTAAAAAGTTGTGACCCCAAATGCACTTATAACTCTAACTCATTTTGTGCAGGGTGAGAGGGAAGAGGCCTTAGGGCCCCACGAAACCTTAAAACCCTTTAAAAAAAAAAAAAACTTTTGAACATTCCCACATTTTGACTTTTAAAATTTATTTCTTATTCAACTTTTATGGATGAAAAAACCCGAACAACTACCTACCGTACCTAGACCATTTCGGGTCCGCGGCGAAGCCGTTATTGAGAAAAAACACGACAATAAACAATTTTTTTCAAGGTATGTAACGAAACATACATTTTTTATAATTATTGTTAAAAAATTCCCGTCAAATGGTTTTTTAACCGTTTTGTTAACATGAATTTTTTTTTTTTTTTAAACTTTTATTATGATATTTACAACTGTATTAGTATGAATGCATCAATTAAATGTGTGCAGAGGAATATAATCACATGAAACACGCTTGTTGAGAAACTAACCATTGGTAGCACTCTATCATAAAAATTAAAATTATTTTGTAACATTATTGTTAAAAAAAAAAAGTTAATTTTTTACAGTAAAATTTTTATAAATTTATCTCCTCCAAATCGTATACTATTTTTCTCCCCAAAACCAAACTTAATCACCTTTTCTTTTTCTTTGTTCAAGACCGAAAACGGGTCTTGGAAGTTGAATTGTTTCCAAGAGGGACTCTATTCCTATGGAACTCCATCCCTCCCCACATCCGTCAATCCAAAATCCATCCAGTCCTCATATAATTGTAAATAGTTACTACTGTAAATATGTATACAAATTATTAGATCGTTCTTCATTATTTTTACTTAACGTTTATTTTAAATTTTTTATCTTTTATTATTAACTGATTTAAATTAGAAAGTAACTTATAATTTCTTTTATTATTTTTTTTTACCTTGACTATTTAATTAAACTATATGTTTGTTTATGTGCCTCTGAGGCTCCTTAGCCCACATTTTTTTTTTGCGTCTTTCTGTGTGAGACTCGTCCCAGAATAAATAAAGCATTATTATTATTATTCAAGTTTCAATGGTTTTTATTACTATTTAAATCATTAGTAATTTTCGAAAATATGTTCTACGAATAAAGAATTCCTGAATTAATTTAAAAAAAAATATTTGTTTTGATATTACACTTGGGATATAAAAATAAATAGGATATTGCGTTAAGTCTTAAGGCCATAAAAAAAAAAGAAAAAAAAGTTCACTTTAGAAATAAACATCTCATTTGACTATTTATGTAAAAATTTATATAGTCTAAGCATCGTCGAGCTCTATTCTAAATGGAGCTGATATCGATTTCTTAAATTGAGTTAGTGGGCGTGATCCAATCCATCATTCCTGCGACATTCAGTAGCTCTGATGGTCTGTTTGTATGCAATTAAGTGACGATTTTCGAGTTGTTATTTTATCGGCTTATATGTTTGGTGGTTTTTGGAACGGTCACTTCTCTAGGTAATGAACCCCTGTTGAACTACGGACTCCGTTGACGAGGGAGGGTAACCTAAGATATGCCCCTAGACAAAGGTGTCCAGTTTTTGGGACGGTGTTGACGAGGGTGAAGCGAGCGTTGCCTACGGTAGGTTAGGGAGAGCTGGGAAGGGGGTTCTGCTCCCCAGTCTTGCGCCGGGTCGAGGCCCAACCGGCACGGAGCCAGTTCTCGTCTGTCTTCTCTCTTCGCTTCTCGCTCTAGTCTGTAGCTATCCGGTAGTGTACGTCTTCAATGTAAGTTCGTCCTCTTATAACTTACATCCATAAAGTTTTATTTCTCTCTTGGATCAGAAATCTCAGTCCCGTGCTTCCGAATCAGTGTTGTTCAGTCTGTCATGTGTGGTGTTTATTTATCTAATATTAATACACTGTTATTGATGATGATATCGAGTTATTCCAATACGTGAGTAAACGTTGTGTTCGTATCTGAGTGTTGTATGTCAGTGAAATCGTCTTCAGCCGGAACAGAATCAACTGTCTTCTTTGACATATTTTCCACGCTTCTTAACGTATTTAATGTTTAATTCATCAAAACGTCCTTCACTGAAAGTACCCAGCAAGTAAATAATAACGTTATTCACTCTTGATTGAGAATAATATTCTTAATAATTTCACATTCACCGACCAAATTTAACTTCTTGCTAAAGTAAATATATAATTAACTTACTCTTTTAGTGCATGTGCTCCAAAACTTTTTTTTTTTGTGATCTGTGTAATGAGCGGGAAAAACAGGGCAGGGATCCAATTCAAAGCCCGAAGATATCACTAGTTTCGTTTCTGGGGTAAGAAAACTTAAAAATATACTTGCAGGAGTGATGCAGTTTTTAAATAGTCTTCTATGCAAGAGAGACGAGCTCATGAATATAATTTTACATGAATAGCATTTCCCGCTGTCAAGTTGGCATTGTAAACATTCGGCGTTGTTGAGTAAACAGATAATATTGAAAGGAAAGGACGGAAAACTAGTTTCGCAGGCATTGCTTACTTCAAAAGATGTTTTCGACGTGATTATATGGAATGAGGTATTTATTCTACTCGGTACTATTTAAAAAAAAAAAAAAGACATTGACGTTTGTGTGCCGAGTGAGGGCTAATATACTCCGTCTTTTGTTACCGTTCTGTGGCGAGACCTTCGAAGAAAAAGCTTGTGAAGCACTTTCACTCTCTTGTGCAGTTTTAATGGATGTGAAACCTCCATTTAGCATATCTTCTGGCCATTGCCATGGCAACTGATACAGCACGGAGTTGCACGGGACGGGGATTTTCTTTTCCAAATGGTTTTTCAATGTTTTGTTTCGTTTTTCAAACGATTTTTCTTTCATGCGAGCGATGAAGAGCCTTCCAATGAGCTTTTGATGTGTATATATTCAGGGAATTTGAAAGAACCGTTGGCACATTTACCTTGTTAAATCACCACATCTTACATCTTTTATCTTATCTGATATGGGACACGCTGTTGTGTGTTCACTTGAAGTTATTTTTAATTCATTTAGAATTATCCATATCCATCATCTATGATTGTTATTGTTGATTCGGAATGTCTTGAGTGAGAACACTAATAACGAAGTAAAACTATTTAGTGTCGTATTTTGTAATCCGATGATAAACGAATATTAACTTAATTATAACTTAATGTTATAAAGTTTTAATGATCAGTATTAATAAGATGGAGCCTTAACTTCATTAAATATATGTGTAACATAAATATAAATAGACAGCTGCAGTATTTAATTGTTCAGTACTATTAATTAATTATTTATTCAATACAACGACTATATCCTTTTAATGAACGCATTTGTTGATTTGATTAATTTACTAAGAGCTACTTTTCGAATAAATGATGTTGTAGTCAGTTTCTTTCTCGGTCATTCGTAGCTAATTTTAATGTTCGACCTGTTTACTAGATAATGAAGTAACATTTTATGTTCGTCATTTATATTTTTTTTTTATGTCTTTAAACAAGCTATTTATATTTTAAAAGGAGATATTATCTTTGTTTCTAGCTCTTCGTTTATAGTAATTAGCAGAGAATGTTTTAGTGTATTTGAATTGCCTCATGTACGATTATAGTGTTGAGTGTTGCCGGTCTCTGAGCATTATTTGCAAATTTGTCTTGGAGATTTTTTTTTTCTGATTTCTTAATGTAGTTAAATGGTCGTTTTTGTCGCCAAGCAGTTTTAAATTTACCTGTATTTATTTTTTTAATGTGGTCTCAATTATGTTCCTTCCTAAAATTATGATTATTTATTTATAAAATTCAAGGCTGATTTGTGTTAGTATAATCCGGCGAAGGACAAATACGTAATATATATATATATATAATATATTATAAAAAAAAGTATTTAGGCATAAATATTATATAAATAATTTAACATATCATGGGTATGTAATACACGAATTTAATAAAAATGTAGCCGTTCTAGTGCTGAACACAATTCTTGTTTTTAATAAATTATTATACTATATTTTAAATTATATGTAATATTTGAGTTATATATCGTACCTGATTCTAGTATTTTTGAAAAATTCCAATGTAAGTTATCAAACTTTTGAATGAGAAAATAATTATTTCCGAAAGATGAATAAATAAAATAATACTTTTCCAAAATCTGGACTGAATTAACTCTTCTGATGTATCTTATGTTGGAAAAATTGTTCACCATGTTTAGCAGGAAGAAACAAATTATTAAAACAGAATATTTGATTCATCAGAAAAAACTTGAAATGAGTTTGAGATGCACTAAATAGAAATTTTATAGAAGATGTTAAAAACAAACCTCAAATGAAACTGTGGGATTATAAAAAAAAAAGAAAAAAGAAAAACGCTATATCGCTACTGCTTGTGCAAAAGGTGCAAATGCAAAAAAAAAAAGATTATTTATTTATTATTTATTGTATACTTTTATATTTTATTTCCCTCTGCTATTTTCCTATTTAGCAGACTACTTATAGCAGGTACAGACAATAAAATGTCATATTTAGGATAAAGAGATTAAACATGTAAAATTGTTACACACGGCGTTTTGCTTTAACAGTAACGATATATAATTATTAAATAGCTACGCACTACTACCATCTATTACCGATGTATTTACTTGTTAATTTATTTTTCAAACACACACACAAAAAGAAAATTTTTCAGTAAACATGACTTGTTGATCGTAATTATGTAACACTAACTAATTAATTACTAATATGAACCATTATTGAATAATTAATCATACTGATCCCATTAAATAATTAATTGAGAAAAAAGCTCCATTTTTCATTCAACAACTAGAAAATCTTAATTTAATGTTTTCCGCTTAGCTGCCGTAGTAGAGTAATAATTCTCGGATGGTTGGAAACGCTTTTAAATTAATCATAATAAATATGATTTGATTCTTAGAATTTTATGTAGTATCAACGTATTTTTTAAATAAAAAATATATAAATTTTATCATAAATTGGAAAGATGCAGATTCGTATAATAGTTTCTTAATGATTTCAGAACAGTTTTTTATTATGCCTCTCCGTCATAATAAAAACATATTATTCTATTAATTAGTGGTTAAGCCAATGCAATTAGCCTAATTAAGTTAATACGTAAACGTAAACCGTGGCGGCAATGCCTCAGCACGATGAATACGTTAGTGTTCTAGTTCTCTAGGTCGATCAGTCTGCCATGGCTTCTTTCACCTGCTCTGCTAAAAATTCTCTTGCATTTCTAAGGTTTATTGATTTATTTACTAATATGTCAGCTCATTGTGGTTGGATGGCTAAATAATGTAGGAATTTTAGAAATAAAAGAAAAAAGAAGAAAGAAAAAGTTGTGTTTTTAATTGTGTTTTTTTATTCTCACACTAAATTATCGTTCTTCAAATTCTGAATCCTGTTTCAATTTATTAGGATTTTTTATATTTAAATTTGTCGTTAAATAACGTAATCGATTTTTTTCTTTACATTCAATATTACTAATTCCAGTTCCATTTGTAAATCTGTTTTATATTCTGTATTCTGTGTTTCTGTTGTATTTTATTCTAATTGAAATATCAGAGCTAATATATGTCAGCAATACTCGAGGTTTCCGAACCTAACCTCATTTTCAACTGTTTACGCAACCCTTGAATATTTAATGTGCTAATTCAGTCGATTGATTTCCAGGGCAGTTGATATTTTATTTAAACTCTGCATTGAAAATTTTCAATTAATGAGCCATACCCTAGGCCGTAAAATATTTTGTAGATAAATTCTGTATCAGCTTACATTATTTTACTCTGGATGGATTACTATTAATCATTAATATTAGTTCTATAATTTAGAAAAATATGTTGCAAAATTAAAAGCTGCAATGATAAAATTATCATATTTTCTTCTATGTTCATTTATATATCCTTTGGAGAAAAATTTAACCTAATTTAACGATCGAATTTAAGACACATTGAATAAGAAATTCTTTCTATAAAAAATAAAATTTTCCACATAAAAATCAGAGTGTAATTTTATAAATAAAACGATTTGATACAACTTGAATACATTTAATCAATCGGAATATATCTAACATATCGCTAATGTTAGTGCAAAAGCTCCTATGTACAAATTTTCAATTTTATCATATTTCTGCGATAGTTGACATTTTGTAGTTTGCAACTTGTATAAGTAGTCTGCTAGAGAGAGAGAGAGAATCACTTTATTATCATAAAATAAAATGTTGCTGCCCAATTACATTGGGTTGCTAACAACACCACATACTTATTAATCACTACAGACATTGTTTAAAATTATTATACAATTATATAGGATTAACAAATCCTATGGATAACAAATGAAAATGGCAGAGAGGAATTCAATATGAAATTATAATATATATATATATATATATATATATATATATATATATATATATATATATATATATAAATAAATATAAAATATGCACTAATAAATCATAAAGAATTAATTAATTTTTGTGCTCTTCTGTAAAACAGCAGCACTTATATAAACGGTTTTTTAAAAGAATTTTTATACACGGATTTTTCACTATAACAGTAGCTATATTCGTTTTGCCCAAATATGTATCTAAAATATGTATCCTAAAACATTATAAAAAAAATTTTTTTTTTTAATTTCATTAATGAAATTTGCAACTATATTAAAATAAAAATACATCTAGTAATTGTGACACAGAGAATCATAATGGAAAAGACTTGTAGACAAACTACCCCATTAAAATTTCTAGATCAGGAGATCACGAGGTCATCTTCTTGCCAAATGATTTAAAATTTTTCATGAAGATTTCGACTCATATTGCTGAATGAAAAATATCCCCCCTCCTCCCCCCAAAAAAAGAATGTGTATTGGTATACAAAATCCGGCCTTATTTATTAAATAAATGCATTGGAGGAAGTGTTGTTGTCGACAAGCCTTGACCATGGTTGACGTACACTTGTGCTGCTTCTAAACGTCCTGGATCGATTTCAAAACTGGAATATGTGGTCACTATGTAGCGCA